AGGAAAAGATTAATTACAAGAGGAGGAATGGAGCAGCCCCTCCTGGAGCCTAGAAAACCCTGAGAAAAGTTTAGAAGGTAGTTCCTGAAGCAGCTGTAGTTAGAAGAACAAGCACTTATGTGCTTTCTGTTTCCTTCCTCTTATTTATTTCATTTGTGTCTTTCCTTTTGTCTATGAGTCTCATGGTAGTATACGTGGTTTCCTATTCCCTTTTTCCAGTGGTGAAATCTAAAATTTGTTACTACTGGTTCTGTGGGCATGGCTCGGTGGGGGTGCGTATGTGTAATGTGACTGGGTGGGCGTGGCCATTTTTAAAAAACTTTTAAAACCATTTTTTCTACAACCTGTTCGGCGAAGAGGTTGTAAAAAATGCTTTCCAAAGGCTCTGACAATCCCAGCTGAGTTGCCTGATCGTCAGAGGCATTTAAAAGAAAAAATGCCTCTGACGATCAGGCAACTCAGCTTGGATCGTCAGAGGCATTTAAAAGAAAAAAACCCTTTTTTTCTTTTAAATGCCTCTGACGATCCAAGCTGAGTTGCCTGATCGTCAGAGGCATTTAAAAGAAAAAAAGTCTCTGTCAATGAGGCAACTCAGCTTGGATCGTCAGGCATTTAAAAGAAAAAAAGGTTTTTTTTCTTTTAAAAGCCTTTGATGATCCCAGCTGAGCTGCGCGATCATCAGAGGCTTTTTTTTTTTACTTTTAAAAGCATTTTTTCAGCCGAAGAGGTTGTAAAAAAAATGCTTTTAAAAGTAAAAAAAAAGCCTCTGACGATTGTGTGGCTCAGCTGGGCATGGGGGGGGGCAGGGATTTTTGCTACCAGTTCTCCGAACCACCCGCCTCCATCACTACTGGATCGGGCGGTCCGAACCGGGAGCATTTCACCCCTGCCTTTTTCCCATCACAACTGTAACAGAATACAGATAGTCCTCAAATTATGACCCAAATTGAGACCAAAATTTCTATTGCTAAGCGAGACAGTTGCTAAGTGAATTTTGTCCCATTTTAGGATCTTTCTTGATGCAATTGTTAAATGAATGATTGCAGTTGTTAAGTTAGTAACATGGTTGTTACTAACATGGTTGTTAAGTGAATCTGGCTTCCCCATTGACTGCTTGTGAGAAGGTTGCAAAAGGCGATCACATGACCCCTCCAGGACACTGCAACCATCACAAATATGAGTAAGTTGCCTAGTGTATGAATTTTGATAATGTGACAATGGCGATGCTGCAATGGTCATAAGGGTGAAAACTGTCAAAAGTCACTTTTTCAGTAACACTGTAACTTTGAATGGTCACTAAATGAACTGTTGTAAGTTGAGGACTACCTGTATAGGTGATGCTGAGAGATAAGGGTTAGTCCTAGTGCACCTTGTAAGGTTCATTAAGAACAGGGCTATTTTGTTTTCAACCATGCCATATATCGGCCTCTTATACCCATTGTGCTAAGTCATGATATGAGCTGTTTGGTGTGGCTTTAGCAGACCGTTGACAACCAGTGGCCCTCCAGATGTCATTGAAGTACTCCGATTCTTCCTTCTAAGGCTACTTGGACTACTGCAATGCTCTCTACATGGGGCTTCCCTTGGGGTGCACCCGGAGGCTCCAACTGGTCCAGAATGTGGCCGCGCGGGTGGTTATGGGAGCGACGGGGCGCTCCCAAGTGACACCCCTCCTGCGCGAGCTGCACTGGCTTCCGGTGGTCTTCCGGGTGCGCTTCAAGGTGTTGGTGACTACCTTTAAAGCGCTCCATGGCTTAGGGCCTGAGTACCTACGAGACCGCCTTCTGCCGTCAATAGCCTCCCACCGGCCAGTACGCTCGCACAGGGCCTCCTCAGGGTGCCGTCGGCCAGACAATGTCGGCTGGCGACCCCCAGGGGGAGAGCCTTCTCTGTGGCGGCACCCGCCCTTTGGAACGACCTATCCCCAGAGATACGTATGATCCCGGATCTCTGGACTTTTCGTCAGGCCCTTAAAACTCACTTATTTCATCTAGCCGGGCTGGCTTGATCCCATCTTTCAATTTTAATTTGTAATTGATTTTATTGGGGTGTTTTTAAATTGTGGGCCGAAACTATTTAATATCTTTTTAAATTGTTTTAAATTTTGTATGCTATGTTTTTACCTTGGCTGTTCACCGCCCTGAGTCCTGCTGGAGAAGGGCAGTATAAAAATAAAATAAAATAAAATAAATAAAATAAATAAGGCTGTTGGGAACTGTGGTCATCACCTACAAGGACACAGATGATGAGTGTGTTGATTGTGTTGGGGAAAGGCAGCCATTGTAGTCTGAAAAAAATGGTTTATGGTATAGTGTGATCTGTGGATTCATTCAGGGTAATTTACTCAACAGACCATCATTTAGGAATATGTGAGGATTTAGCCATGATCTTCTAGCCTCGAACAAAGGCATATTTAGGCAAGGAAAGTCTACCAATATTTCTCTCCCAATTTTTATCTGATCTTATTGAAGGCTAACAGCATATTAGATGCTTAGATGATGAACTGAACCAAAAAAGCATTTTGGTCCCTGAAGTTGTTTTAAAATATAAGAAGCAGAAACAAAGAAGATCCCACCATAGAATGCAGTGAGTGCAGAGTAATGAGCTTTGCAATCCATATTTGTTTTGTTAGATTTATATTAGTATAACAGAATAACAGAGTTGGAAGGGACCTTGGAGGTTTGCTAGTCCAACTCCCCACTCAGCAGGAAGCTGATGAAGATTCTTGATTCACCTCGTATTTGGGGGTCAAACGTACTCGGTTTGTCAACCTATAAGCCACAGCTTCAGCTATCACCACAAGGAGGAATCTGCCTTGTAAAATATGAGGGTATTTTCCTAATTGTACTAGGGAAAATAAAAGTACCCTTTCTCAATTTATTAAAATAGCTACATCCTTTACAAACAATATAGAAGTGTCAAAGGATTTCATTGGTTGTCTATCTTTACAGGAATTGTTGCTTTGGTTTTGCTAGTAGTCCAAAAAGAAGCCATCTGCGCTTATCAGGGAAGCCTTGTTTAGCCTTCCTAAAAATATGGCTACTTAAATATTTTGGGGTAGATTGTTTCACTCATGCCAACACTCACTGCAAAGCACCCTTTTCAAATGCCTTGCATAGCCTTAGTTATTATAAGTAGATCAAGATAACGTGTATGAAATGCTTGGAATATTTAAACTCCTCCTCCTTGTGTTCATTATTTGGGGTTTACTTGATTAAGACACTCCTTGAAGGATTATCTCAAGGACCATGCTTGTTTTGACGTCTCTTCCACATGGAACCATGTCTGTGTGATGGGAAATGTCATCTCATGTAGAATCTGTCAGGACCACCTATAGAGCGAGATACAATCTTCTATTTCTGTATTGTGCAGAGTGTTTCTTAGCTATCCACAATAGGCTGGAAGTCTGCTGATATGGAAGGACGAAAATATAATAGCTTTAACTTGTTACAGAGGTGGAGAGGAATGTTGACAAGCAGTGGTTTAAACAAGCAAGAGATGAAGAGTAGGTTGTATTAGCAAGCAATAGGTTAAAGATCGGGACTTTCTTCTTATAAATCATCTAAGGACTATTTGGTGCCTTCTAAGTATGTTGGAACTTTCCACAAGGAGGGTACCAATTGGGGAAGGCTGGTCTAATATTTTCTGATTCCTGGGATTCTGACCAAGAATGCTGGACCATGAAGACCTTGATCTCATCCAGCAAAGCACTTGTGTTCTCATTCAAGCACTCAGATCGTAAGTGTACTCCTGTCTCCATGGTGAAGCAGCCTCTGAAGGTAGAACAATAGCTCAACTATAGTTCATCATTTTTGAGATTATGCCAAATCATAAGCCTGATTTGTGCATTATTTTAAACCAAGGAGAAATAATATATTGAAAAGTGGTAGGAATCAGCATGTCACCTCTACTTGAAATTACCAGTTCTCCGATTCCAGCGCCCTTTGTGGGAAGACCTGAAGGGGAAATCTTCCCCTTCAGGTCTTTCCACGAAATTTGCAGTCATGCAAACTTCCATGGCTAGTGGTCAAGTGTGACCTTATTTTAGCTAAGGGCATATCTATACTATTGCTATTAGCCCAGTGTTTCTCAACCTTGGCAGCTTTAAGATGGGTGAACTTCAACTTTCAGAATTGGGTTCACTGGCTGGAGAATTCTGTGAATTGAAGTCGACCCATCTTAAAACTGCCAAGGTTGAGAAACACTGTATTAGCCTATTTAACTAGATAAAATCTGGGAAGAGGATACAGACTGACTGCCCCTTGCTTGAAAGATGACCTACAAAGAGCTGTAAATTGCAGAGAGCTGGGTGTTTCTACAAACCAGTCTCATGCCAGGTTTTTTTTAAAAAACCTGGCGGATGCCAAGTCCTGTTTAGTCTGGCCAGACCGCCTTGTATGTGTCAGTAAAAATACTTTAAAAGAGCGTATGGTTATTGCACCTGACAAAAAGATTTGTTGAAATGTGTCAGATAATGTAATTGCTTCTTTGAATTCTCTGGGTCGCTGCTTGACCCTCGTCAGTCATTGCTTTGCATTTAATCATCAAGTTTCAGTCTTCTGAAATTTTTCTTCCATTGAGAAGAAAATGTTTTTTTTTGTTTGTTTTTTTTATGTCACCCTTAAGTTATTTTTGTACAACAATTTTCTTTTGGGCTTAATTGATACATGAGATCTAAGGGAGGTTGCAAATTCTAAAAGAGATTATTTCACAATCCAAAGCACAATGGTAAGAAATAATCTTTGATCAGATTATAACTAGGTTAACTACAAGCACTCTACCTAGTAAAAATTGCACCAGGATGATGTTCTCAGTTATGATGGATAGGATTGACTGCTATGATTGGTATTGTGCTGCACTGTATGAATCAAAGGGAACCAACACCATCCTGGCCGTCCTAGAAGGAAGATAAAACAGAGTCAAAAAATAAACCCATTACAAGTCATTGTATTATTCATGTTCATCCTTCTCCTCTTTGCTCTCCTCTCTCTGATTTGTAGGAGGTGGAGGGAAACGAAAAGGAAGGAGCAAGAAATGGAGAGAGATCCTCAAGTTCCCGCACATCAGCCAATGCGATGAGCTCCGGAAAGGGTTGGGTAAGTGCAACATGAGACAGATCCCCTCTACTCAAGGAAATGCAGGAGCTGCTAGCCAAAAGCACCACAAAAAGATGCCAGCTTCCTTCCTTGTGATGAGGAGAGCTACTCTTCCCTCATCAAAGTAGGATTTCATATATCATCAATTCCCAATGGAAAGCCAAATGGGTTGTTGAACATCCAGACATAGGTTGACATATAAATGACCCCACGCAAAAGATTCCAGGCTTTGAACAACCACCTGACATGTTGTCTGCCAGGACTCAATGTATAAATGGAGCATAGTAACCTTCCTTCAGTGTGACTGTGGGGTCCTATGTCAAACTGTAGATCACATCATGAGCAGATGTAAGCTGAGGGCATATGTTAATATATATTGCAAGACCATGTATGAGTGGAAAAGATATTAGAGATGATATTTCTTCTCCAATGAACACACAGCCTAAAATTTAACAGAGAAGTGAGGAAAGTGAGAACAAAACTAAGTATGAATAATCAATAGTTCAACTTGGCTTTTGTTTTTAGATTTTTTTCTTACTACTCTGTTGAATTTTAGGCTGAGCATTTATTGGAGGAGAAATAATAATTATCTCTCAAATTCATCATCAGTTGATGTGATAATGGCAACTAATTTACTTAATAAATAAATTGAATCAATTAGAGAGGACTGATCTGTTGAAGGTGATTAGTCTTGAACTTCCATACAGTTTGCACATTTCCAAATGCCAGCTGTAGGAAAATTATGATGGGAGAGAAGTGTCTCCATCTCTCTTGTGAGCATTTTGTACACATCTGGTTGGCCACTGAAAGAAATAAACTGCTAGATAAAGATTTGCCATAATTTCATCCATCCCATTTTTATCATCATAGGCCCTGTACACCCTTGTCCAGTACCCACTTCCAGGAGTGATTCCCAGATTTTCCAGAATTACACTGCTGAAATTTGATGACAACTGTTAAAACATGTCTCTGTGATTCCTCAGATTTCTTTAAAGCCTTTCTTTACAAGGCTTAGTAGATCCATTTTACTTCCTAAAATCCTTACAAGTATTAGGGTAGGGGGTAGAGATGGAGGAAAAAAAAGGTCTGAGGGAATCCTTAAAATTTGAGGGAAACAGAACAGTAGGCTTATGTCAGGTATGGAGAATCAGGACCTCACGTTAAACTCCAGTTAAGCTGATTTAGTGCTCATGCCTATACAGAAGATAGTAGTCTATGCAGAAGAATGTAGTCAACTAATGGTCGGCGCTAAATTGGTGTTAGATAAGAATCAATGGAATTCAAGAGGGATGAATTTAGACCATTTGTGGGAACATAAGGACTCTAGACTTATAACTCTCTTGACTCCACCCCTGACTCTGCCTATCCTTCTCCTACAGCTCCTCTTCTAAAGAAATTATCCACCTTTGATGTATGCATGGCAACTACTGTATGTCTTTGAGTTGTGAGGGCCACATTGTATTTTTATTCCCCACAACAGCAAACTTGAAAAATAAGGTGGGATGACAGAGAACTATTGGCCTAACGTCATTGTGACTTAGTGACTGAAGGCGGAGAGGTCTTCCCACTCCTAATGCAACACATAACTACTGTATTATATTGATTATCAGAGGGAAGTTGGAAGTGACTTCCATCATGCCTACTGTGTGATTTTTATGTATCGAATCATCCTCAAGTCATCTCTTTCGAACAACTTTTGTGAGTCTTGTTTTTCAAGTGAATCAACACAAAGAGTAAATTAATTTCCTTGGTGGTTGTGCGGCCTGGTCTCTGGCTTTAAGTAAGCTTACTGTTCTCCAGGCCCTTGTAGACTATTAGGAATTCTTGCGTCTGCCCCCATCTTCTCATACTTCAGTTTGTTCCCAGAAGGAACATGCTGAGATGCAAATGAGAACATGTTCCTACTGCTTGAAAGTATGTTTACAAAAGAGTCTAAGGGAAGGTTTGTGAAATGGGGAAAGCAAAGGAGTTGGGCAAAGGCAGATGGGCTCCTGAGCGGACTCAGCAGGACATGATTGTGACAACCAGAAGTTGCAGATATGGAAGGCGCCATGAGCACCTAGGTATAAAAACGAGCTGGCCTTCTCAGTACCTGAAAAGCAAGTTGTGAGAATCCAGTTTTTTTCCCCCCAGGACTTTGAATCTCTTTTTGTTTGATGCGATCACATGAAGAATTTGTGTTTCGGGGTTAGCTAAAACATCATCCCAAAGCTGAACAGTTTTGTAGCTAAACAGATGAATTATGATTTAGAATTATTCTACTTTCATATGCTCAAAATTCAGATGTGTAATGATAATCCTCAGCATCATCCTTATTCATACATTACACTAAACATTAATGTGGCTTGTTTGTTATGCGCTTATATAATGAGTCCAGCCATTGTCATTTTGAAATCATAATAAATGGGTTAGAATTATTGCTTATTTTAATAATCAATGTTAAGTTTAAATTGCGGTTTAAAACAACGTTTGAATTAGCATACACCATGGGCTTCAAACTCATAACAAGGCTTGGTTTCATTTTTTGTGCACCATTCAGATAATTCTGGCTACAGAGCAAAGCAAATTCAAATCCAGATCTCATGAACTATGATCTGATCTGAAATCTAAACATAGCCCTCTTCTTTGGGGAATTGTGTGCATCTTTAGCTATAAATATTTACAGCCATGCTTGCTGGGAAATTCTGGGAGATGAAGTCCATAAGTCTTAAAGTTGCCAAGGTTGGACACCCCAACTTTAAAAAATGGCATTCCAACTTGTTGCATTTGAAGCTCTTCTACTAAGAAGGTCACCCTTGAAAGCCCCATGGTCCAGAACTGTCTACTTACAAGTGGCAATAATTCCTTCTCCATATCTGTCTTTGTAGAACGAGATTACAACAGTTTGTGTGACAAGCAACCCATCGGTCGACTGCTATTTCGACAGTTTTGTGAGACTCGGCTGGAACTTCTACGGTGTATCCACTTCCTGGATGCTGTGGTAAGGCAAGCACAGTTTCTAAAGTGTATCTGGCTCTGCTCAGCCAGTCCTTAAGGGACAACTAGATTCCCTTTGACAACTTCTATTTAAAGTATCCCAAAACTTTGGCTGGCACTAGATTGATGATGAAGTGTCCATAAGTCAGTAGCAAAGTTGATGGAATCCTTGGTACTTCAAGTCTAGAAGAGTGACAGGAAAAAACCTTTTACAGCATATGCCATATTGAGCTAGGCGGACCTGTTATCTAATTAAATAAATAATATGTTCATTTGCTTTCCTCCTCCAATCAGGAATGGTTTATCTGGGTGCAAAATACCTGCCTTACATGCAATTGGTCATAGGTTTGGTCCCAGGGATCTCCCACTGAAACAAGTGGGATGTAGTGGCATGTGTGAGGAGAAAGGTCCACTTGAGAGGTGCTTCAGCTTGATCCTTTATCCTTTGTAACCGGTTGGAATTTGGAAAACCCATCATGAGTGTTTCTCATCATAAAATGGCTGTCACCTAAGAAGCTGTTCATGTCCAGGCCTGCATAAGCCAGTGTGGTTGTTTATCACCTGGCAAAATGATGAAATTAAAAAAAAATAGCTTAGTAAGAAGGCTGGGATGGAACTGAGGTGCCAAAACATGTATTGGCACTCCCACAAGACTTCAGAATATCTGTTTCCCAGAAGCCATGGTCGTGACACTTGGAAAACACGCACATCTACACTACCCTTCCACCAGCACACACACATATCAAGGTAAACCACACAATGCACACTCTGATATACATACAAAAATATTCCCCAACCTTGTTTATTCTTAAATCTTTAACTTACTATCCCAAGTTTATCTTATATCTGAAATGTATGGTCTTATATTTGAGGAACCTCAAAGAAAAAAACACCTTTCATCTCTGCCCATCATAGACAGGAGGAGGTCTCTTATGGGGGGCTTAGAATTTCCCATCCATCTTCTCCCAACTGGCTAGTAAATATTGGATGCAAGTTAGAAACTTTCATAACTTTATTCACTCAGCTGCTTTAATCACTGTGCAATGGGAAATCCCTTCCTAGTAACATTTTAGTTCCAAGTATCTAGTTTTGGAATTTACAGAGAAAGTACAAAATCAGTCACTCTTTTGAGATCTTTTGCTCACCAAAATTCCGACGGCAACATTTTTATTTTCTCTGTCTTTTACAAACCTTCTTCCTGTCAGTCCTGTCTTTTTGATTTTCTTGTAGAGGGAGGACAACTTTAAAAAAATAAAAGAGGGGAACGGTGGGGGGGGGGTGTTGGAAACCCCAAATTCTTGCAGAGTGACCTCTGGGAGAAGATCAGAAAGACGGGTGTGTTTTTCAACCCACTCTAAAGTCAACGGTGCAAAAATTCCATTGGGATGACGTGTAATTTAAAAGTCAGCGCTTCATCTGAAATACTATCCTAGTGTTTTTGTGGGTTGCAACCCCCACTCATGTCTTTCTTTTGAAAATTTTGCTAAGCCTGAAAGCATCTTAACCTCAAGCAGAACAAATCATAGCTTAGGATTTCTTCAACTCATTTTCCTCTCCAAGTTCCTTCTTCCGCATCTCCTGAACTAAGGCAAATTTACAATCAGAAAATTGATCTGTTTGTGCTCCTGGGCCAGGAGGCCTTTTCAGATGGCCAGGAGGCCTTACATCAACCTCTGTAAAACACTCTGTGTTTCTCATTACCAAACTGTTTATGCAATTCAACGTTGTTCTCTCTCTTTTCCTCTCAATGGGAGGGAGTTTGTTGAACCTTGGGCCTTTTTCTTATTTTCATAAGCTTGTTGGATATGAGTGACAGGAATGCCGATCTGGTCAGCTGGCTGCAAAATGGGAAACACATGCTTGGAAACCAATCCTCTGTAAGGTTTGGGCTCTTTCAGCCAGCAAAAGGCTGAGTGATAAAAAGTCATTGTTTATTTAAATTTGGTTCAGGAACTTGACTGGGCCAGGGGATCTTTTCTCAAGGAAATTAAAACTGGTGAGCATCAAATACTTTAAGAGGGGTGTTGAAGGATCCGGAAGGATTTATGCTTTTCATTTTTCAGAGTTCAGCACCCTGTTTTCCCATTCTTGTTTCTAAGTTAATAGAAATAGATACAGCTACAATCCCAAGAAATCTGTCTCTGGTTTTGTGTTTTTTTAATCAACCTTTGTAGCATGAAAAGCTCCCAGAATAGCTTATATAATAACAAAAGTTGGAAAGCTCTCAGAATTGTGGTCTAAAAAACCCTCCACGCAGAGCTGGAAAAATAGACAAAAAAGGCAGGGGAAAATAAGAACAGCCAGGTACCAAATGTTAAAATGCCATGGTTACTATAATGGAATTGGGCTGCTTTTAGAGATTCCAAATGACACCGTTGTCTCCAAACTCCACAATCTGGTTGCTTTATCACACCAGACCAGCAGTCTTAATATTCTTTACAGCAGATGGAATTTTTTCTTTGCCCCTTAGATTCTCAGTGCCTTTTTCTTTTGATACTTTTGAGTCAGAGTTGATTCCTGGTGACTACCTGGACATGTCCCTGTAGTTTTCTTGGCAAGATTTCAGAAGGGGTTTGCCATTGTCTCCTTCCTTGAGTTGAAAGTGAGTGACTGGCCCAAGCTCACTCAGCTGGCTTCATGCCTAAGAGTAGGACTCACAGTTTCTTGGTTTCTAACCTGGTGCCTTAACCATTACACCAAAGTAACCTTTTCAGTGGTCTAACCAGGACTAAATTTATGGTCTAAGAAAATTTTTTCAGCATGGCATTCTGCAATCAGCTTTACCATTTCCTACCAGCATTTTCACTAACTAGAAGTACAGAATAGGATTGTTCAATTTGCTTTGTTGAGTTTTTTTCAACAAACATACAGGGAATCATCTGCTATGTATTAGTGCAAGGCTAAATGTCTATGGCAGTGGTCTGCAACCTTAAACACTCAAAGAGCCATTTGGACCCATTTCTCACAGAAAAGAAAACACCGGGAGCCACAAAACCTGGGTGGGCGTGGCCAACTTGATGTCACTCACTTCCACCAGTCACATGATTCCCTCTCTATATCTCTCTATGTCTCTCTCTCTCCCCCTCTCTCTGTATCTCTCTATCTCTGCCCCAGCTGCTTCTCTATCACCCGCTATCGCCCTTATCTTTTCAGGCCAGGTGAGGAGTGACTGGGAGGGGAGGGCAAGGGGCGGGCCCAGCCAGTGGTGGGATAACCCACAGGGAGCCACAGCAGAGGGCCCAAAGAGCCACATGCGGCTCTGGAGCCACAGCTTGCTGACACCTGGGCTATGGAGATTCTCAGTCATCCAGGTTATAGTTGTCTCAAAGGTTCTTTTTCCAAAGGGGCTGTTTTCTAAGGAAGAAGTTTCGCTTCTCATCCAAGAAGCTTCTAGGTGCTGATTTTGTGTGTGTGTGTGTGTGTGTGTGTGTGTTCATTCTGTAGCCAGGCTTCATCCATCATCAAGATACCTTGTATATGCATACAGGTTCCCAATCCTGTGGCAGATTTGGGGGTCTTCTAGCAAATCATTGTCCCATGATTACGGTAATTTGTTACTTGGCAGTGCAGGGTGTTTAACCACCCAGTCTGTGGCTTTTCCCATTTCTCTCCCTTCCTGAAAGTCTTCCCAGACCCAGGTTTATTCTCCTGCTTCTTCAGCAGCTGACAGTCTTGCACAGGAGCAATATGGAGGAGCGTTCATCAAGCACCCCTGTAGCTGGTGATCATCCATCTTACTTCCCTGGGGAATTGCTGTACATGCTTTCCCATTCGTTTCTCATGACCGTGACCCAGCAGTCTTTCCAGCAACAAAAACACAGATGTCACTTGAGCCTCGAGAATAGCGATGACCTGCAAGTCATCCCAGTGACATGGACCTTCTAATTTGGATCTTCCTGTTTTTTAGAACGTTGGAGGGACCTTAAGGCGATTTATTAAAGGCAGAGGGGGCAAAAATCCACCTGTATCCATCTGCTTTGATTGGCCACTTGAGGTTCACCGCCCTTCTCCTGCAGTTGAGATGTAGCACAAAGCACTTTCATACTTGGCGTTATTGCCATGGTCTGCTGAAATGGGTTCCATCTGCTGCATGCTTGGCCAATTTACCTGCTTCTTCCCCCACCCACCTACCACCACCACTATTGCGATGAGATGAGGAGTCCATGTCTTGTTTCTCTTTGGTTGCTTAGCAGCAAGCCCTGTTCCAAAACAATGGGGAGGGAATCTGTGGGTCAGATTTTTTAATAGCAGCAGTGTGCTCTTCTCCACTGTCAGGCAAACAGCTTGTGGTCTTGTGGAAGTAAGCCAGGAAAGGAAGGGAGGGACACTAGAGAGACAAAAAGAATGTTGGGGAAGGGGGGAAGGAAGGAGGGGGTAAAGGGAATCACAGACAGGGACTTTAAGCTTGAATCCAGAAGCAGAGTTAAATGCAGGACCACACTTTTGTCTTCAGGTTTCAGTTCCAGGAGTTCCCTTTAGGAGTCCACACTGGGAGATGCAATAATCCTTGCTTAGTTCTTAGTAGGGCTACAAAGCATTTCTTCATTCATACAGTAGCATCAGTGCACAGATTATAATGCTTTATCATTCTAATATGAGAAGCTCAAGTTGCTTATTTTTCCAACAATCCAGCCTCACAGAGCCTGCTGTTTTGAGTGGGATGTGAACCTGCTAGGATGTCCACAGGTCCTGGTCACTCTTCAATCTTGTCCTGGATCAACTTTGAGCTAGATGAGGAAGTGTAACTTGCAATTCCCAGGCATTGACTCTTTCATACTCAGGAAATGGTAAAGTTAGTTCTTGAGGCCATGCTTAGTCTTGGAGGACATTGGTTGTTCATTCCTTAGCATCTTCAGATGCCTAGAAAGCTTAAGGACCTAGCCCATCTTTGCTGAGCTTGAAAAAGCAAGCAGGATGAGATCTGGTTAGCATTTGGATGGAAGAGATCAAGAAGTCCTAAGGCCATAGGCTAGTCTTAGTCAGTAGAACATCCTAGAACAGAAGTCTTCAAACTTGGCAGCTTTAAGACTTGTGAACTTCAACTCTCAGCTATGCTGGCTGGAGAATTCTGGGAGTTGAAGTCCACAAGTCTTAAAGCTGCCAATTTGAAGACCTCTGTCCTAGAAGAAGCTTGATCCAGCTGCTTTATATTTTTGTCTTTTTTGTTTATTTTAGACCAGGCTGCATCCTCCCCTGAGAGTCTAGCACAAATAAGTATGGAAAATTGGTGACATTCAAGTCACCAATTTATATTTACTTGTATTTATACAAGTAAACCAATTTAGCAACATCCGCATGTGTTTCATCACAGTTGTCATTGTGAACCAGTTGACAAAATGTGTTTCATCCATAGTCCCAGGCATCATGCTGCTTAGTGAGCTATAAACATCCCCTTTCCCCCAGGAAAAATCTCTAGTATTTATGCTTTCCCATCTGTTATTTGCTCATACCCTGAACTCAAGCGGAGCTGTGAAAATCTCATCTGACATCTGGTGCGTAACATCTACAAGTTTACTTATATCCTTGATATAGGACGACCTGAAGCACACACGTGCCAAAAGAGAGCTGTTTTCAGTCCATTGTATTATCCCCATGTATATGCACTTAGATGAATGTATTAAGGAAAAAGATACTGAAACAATGCGATACTAGAGAGAAGCAAATCTCAACTAATCAGAATAGAGTTGGAAGGGACCTTGGAGGTTTTCCAGTCCAACACCCTTCTTAAGCAGGAGACCCTATACTATTTCAGATAGGTCCACTATTTTCTTTAAAAAATGTCCAGTGATGAAGCACCTACAACTTCTGAAGGCAAACTGTTCCACTGATTAATTGTCCTCACTGTTAGGAAGTTTCCAGGTTGCTTCTCTCCTTGATTATTTTCCATCTTTTGTTTCTTGTCCTGCCTTCTGGTGCTTTGGAAAATAAGTTGAGCCCCTCTTCTTTGTGGTAGCCTCTCAAGGGGCCTGGTGGCTCAGCAGACTAAAAGCCTTGTGATTAACACCAGCTGTCTGCAATTACTATAAGTTCGAATCTCACCAGGCTCAAGGTTGACTCAGCCTTCCATCCTTTCTAAGGTAGGTTAAATGAGGACCCAGTTTGTGGGGGCAATAAGCTGACTTTGTATAAATATACAAAAGGATGAAGGCTATTGCTGAATGCACTGTAAGCCGCCCTGAGTCTCCGGAGAAGGGCGGCATATAAATCAAATAAAAAAAAAAATACTGGGACACTGCTATCATGTCACCCTTAGTCCTTCTTTTCTCTAGGCTGGCCATTCCCAGTTCCTGTAACCATTCTTCATGTGTTTTAGTCTCCAGGCCTTTGATCACCTTAGTTGCTCTTCTTTGCACTTTTTCCAAAGTCTCAACATCTTTTTTTGTAATGTGGTGACCAAAACTGGATGCAGTATTCCAGGTGTGTCTTTCTAAGGATTTATAAAGCAGTACTAATACTTCACATGATTTTGATTCTATGCCTCAGTTTATACAACCAAGGATTGTATTAGCTTTTTTGGCTGATACCTAGAACTATTTTTTACTATTGAAAAAAAAATGCTTACAGTTTGACACATTCCAGATAGTATACAAAACACATGTTTGTAAAGATGCAGAAAATTATGCATGCATTTCTCTCCTGTTCCATATATAAATATACTAATCCATTCTTGCATTTGGTAAAATGAGAATATTGGTAAATTGTCCATCTGGCTCTAAAAATCACTGTTAAGGGTATGGTAGACGATGGACCACCAGAGGTCTGAAAAATGTTGATTCTCACAACATGCTAAGCACTTCAGTTAACCTTGAATAAGCAATGTCTCAAATGGCACAGTGTGAACACAGTCAGTAAAAAGCAGCCTTAAATTCACAACAGTAACTTGAGTCACGTTTTGTTCTTTACTAGTTCTCTAAGCAGTTAGTACTTGATGACTTCTTTTTGATCTCAGAGAAAAAGAGAGATGCTGGCTTCTTCTCCAGTTAACCAAGAAACAGTCCATTTCCTTTGTCTGCAAGAGCATTGCAACAAGAGGACAAGGGGAAGAAATAGAGAACCCTTTCACATAGCTGATGCAATAATATACATCTGTGGGTGTGGAATTTTTTTATGACTGCAGCTGGCCAACAAGCTGGTTATTAAATACAAAGCAGAAATAACATTTCTCCAGAACTGTACCTGAAATATCACTATTGCAATTCAGGAAAAGTGGCAATTCTAGAAACAAGCAAAAAGGAAAGGCAGAGCAGCCATCAATGTTACATCCGTAACTCACAACTTTATATCAGGACAGAGGTCACTCCAGGCTCTTCTTCATGAAGAGCACTTGAGCTTTTAAGAATGAAAGGAAAAAACTGAAAGATCTCAAGGACCGAATCTGGGGTTTGGGCAACAAATAGGATGATCTAGTTTTGAACTAGAATAGAATAACAGAGTTGGAAGGGACCTTGGAGGTCTTCTAGTCCAACCCCTTGCTTAGGCAGGAAACCCTACACCAGTTCAGACAAATGGTTATCCAATCTCTTCTTAAAAACTTCCAGTGTTAGAGCATTCACAACTTCTGGAGGCAAGTTGTTCCACAGATTATTTGTTCTAACTGTCAGGAAATTTCTCCTTAGTTCTAGGTTTCTTCTCTCCTTGATGAGTTTCCACCCATTGTTTCTTGTCCTAACCTCAGGTGCTTTGGAGAATAGCTTGACTCCCTCTTCTTTGTAGCAGCCTCTGAGATATTGGAACACTGCCCTAGTCCTTCTTTTCATCAGACTAGACATACCCAGTTCCAGCAACTGTTCTTTATATGTTAGCTATTTCTCCCGGCCATTTCCAAAAAGTTTGTGAGTCAGAAGAGAATGAGGAGAAATATAAAGTCATGGGGGAAAAACTCTTAATGAATCAAGAAATGTCCCTCTATACGTGTGGGATAGATGTCCTCTTTGGCCTCCAGGATAATGTCCTTTTCAGGTGGAGCTTCTGTTCTGATGACCCTCTTTTTTTTCCCCAGGCAGAATTTGAGCTTTCTCCAGATGAGAAACGCAAGGAAATGGGAGAAGAAGTCATTCAGCAGTTTTTCAACAAGGAGGTCAGTATTGCACCTTTAGAAGATAAAGGTGGAGATTGATAGGATCCTTGTAAAAAGATGGTTCAATACAGAAGTCCAAAAGTATAATTAAGAATCGTTAGAATCACTTATGTTTCCTTTCTCTGGGATTGCCCCATTTTTCTTCTTCCAGCCATTGTGTGAGATGTTTTAGTTTGGGTAAAAGTGCCAGGATCATTTCAAAGGATGTGATCTTGGATGCTGGCTTTTAGAATATTCCTGATTTTAGAGTCCAAACACTTCCCCAAATAATTGAGGAAGAACCTTCCCCAATTCTTTGGCTTTCCAGAGAAGCTAGACTTTAGCTGCCCTTCTCCTGGACAGCATGAATGATTGGTTATGAGAACCTTATTCTAGCAAGCAGAAGATCATTAACTAGGGAAGGCTGCTGTATGAACAGAGGGCAGAGACTACAGAAGCATATAGCACATTTTTATTTTACAGTGAGGAGTCAAAGTAGGGAATGAAGGCAGAGAAGAACAAGAATTGAAGTCTACCAATAGAGGAGAATATTTGTAATTCAACTGTAGAGTCCTTCCTGCTCTCTGAGCTTGGTGGTTTTCTTGCAGACATTTCATTACTAAAGTAAGGAGCATGATGGCTCACATGGTTTCTAGGTTAGCAAGCCTGCATTGAAGACCTGAGTGCTGCCATGGGGTGGAGGGGGGGTGAGCTCTCATCCTTCACTCCAGCTCCTGCTGAGGACATGAAAGAAGCCACCAACTGTGCGTCCCCTGGGCAAATGGTGATGTCACTGGCTAATCCTTTCCCGGAAGTGCCTCAGTGCTTCTGACACAAGTACTAATTACTAAATTAAGTAACATCATCAGTGCACCACCAAGGACCCCACAGAATTGAAATCTAGTGTGCAAGATGGTTCACTGGCTTTAAGAATTATTAAGCATTTGTTTATGGCTGGTTTCCTTCTTTTTATGTGTATGAGTTTAGTCCCTGGGCTATATGGCAGAAATTTGTGAACTACTTATGAACCAGTGCATAGAAGACCTACAGAGAAGCCCTTGCAAGGACCTCTTTGGCAGCTGTGTACAGTGAGTACTACATCCTATAGATCTGGAAGCCAGAAGGGTAAGGGGGTGGATTTGGTTTCTTGTCAGGACAAGCTTGTGTATATGCATTATATTTTTGGTATAATAAACCTACCTTTTCCAATCTAGGAACCCTTCCAGATGTGTAGACCAACCACAGAGTTCCTCAACCCAAGTGACCATTGCTAAGAATTATGGGAGTTTAAATGTATGGGTGGAGGGTGCCCTGTTGTAGAACATTGGGATAAAACATGGGTACCTTATCCATAATTTGCTATAAAGAAGATAGCTGCATAAATCATGGTTGACGTTGGCTTGTTTTAAACTCAAAGGGTAATTAAAATAACCACAATTTGTTGGGTTCGAATAATGTGGCTAGATGTGGCTAATACACTCATGCGACACACTTACTCATAGTTAACCATACTGAACTCTGTCCAGTTTTCTGGGTTCATACACTACAATAATTCATAACCACACAAATGCTGAGTTTGCACAAATGCTATATTGAAATGATTTGGGGCTTAGTGTGTTATATAAAACAGCCAATAACTCCTAAGGTCTTTTTTTTATGTGCCCCCAGTGCAGGAAAGCTGTGCATGAGCTGAATGGGTGGCTGAATTCATTCCTTTTACAATGAACTCAATGAAAATTACTTAGTGTACTTTTTGCTAATTACCTATTCTTCAGAGACATGAAGGCATGAGACTGAAGAAAGCTGATTTTTTTGTGTGTTAACCAATTTGTAGCTAATTAATCCAATAATTTTCTAAATGGCATTTCATTACATATTACATTAACTTAAAGTCTATTTAGCCATGCATAAACCATAGCTTATTGAATCCATGTCACATTAAGGAATAAATCATGATTTATAAACCATGACAGTTGAGTCCATAATACTGCTATCAGTCTCAAATAAACCTTATTTTTGCTTAGGGTTGAATGAACCCAACTAAGTGATGCACCTTGCATTTTATAAGAAAATCACGACCAATCAAAGCTGAACTGTATTTCTTGCCTATGAATTCCAAAGTGGACCATCATGGGCAGAAGTAGCTTTAAAGCCAAGAAAAAGCACTGGGTTTATATCACTATATAGCAGTACTTCTCAAACTTGATAACTTTAAAATGGGTGGACTTCAACACCCAGAATTTCTCAGCTGACATGCTGGCTGGAGAATTCTGGGAGTTGAAGTCCACACATATTAAAGTTGCCAAGCTTGAGAAGCACTGCTGTGGAGAGTATCCAATATTAACCACTTTGGGAGCCACAAAGAACCTGCCTTCCTAATTTATAGGAAAAAAACTCCCACTTTCAATTCCTCTTATCTCCTAGGCGGCTGCATGAATACCTGAGTGGTGCCCCTTTCACAAATTACCAGGACAGCATGTATTTTGACAGATTCCTCCAGTGGAAATACCTGGAGAGGTAAGACAATAATCCTGAGTGGCTGGAATGCAAGAAGCCCCACTCATTTACTGAGCTGATGATGATAAGAATTATTTAAAAAAAAAGAAAGAAAGAATGGGTGTTCAATGATGCAGTTTGATCTTCTTAATATCTTCAGGCAATCCGTGACCAAAGACACCTTCAGGCAATACCGGATCCTAGGCAAGGGAGGCTTCGGAGAGGTAGGAAATGGTGACAGCTTGAACTTGTTCCCCATTTGGATTCCTGTAATCTCACATTCATCATAACTGTCTCTTTGGCCTCAGTTCTAACTAGGGATGGGTGAATTTGCCAAAGTCAGATTTGCTCAAGTTTTCAAAAAAAACCAACCAACCCCAGTTTAGCTTTCTTCTGCATCTGTCCACAAACTTCCTCAAACATAATTAGCACTTTTCCAAATATGTCTGATTTTTTTGAATTTTGCATTGTTTGAATTATGAACAGATCAAGACATTCTGAAAAGTAGAAATGTTGTCATTTTAAATGGGTTCAGTTTGGGTCTAGGTTTATGAAATGCAAAGTTTTCATCTAAATGAATCAGATTAATTTTGTTGCTGTGCATACTTATAACACTTCTATTATTGCCTGTCAAATGGTGAATCGTCATAGCAATTCCTGGCAGTGAGAGTGAGAGGCTCACTGTTGCATGCAGAAGATGTTTCAGACCAGAATAGATGTAATTGACCAACCTATGGACATAATATAGTATAGCCTTTACTGTCATTGTACATCATATATACAATGAAATTGGTTTAGCCTCTCTGGTGCAATCCATAAGCACTTCCAAATTGTGATCCTAAGCTTTAGAGAGGTAATATTATTCCATCCAGAGCTGGGTGAGCAAAAGAGTATCCTAGTAAAATAGCTGTATCTTCAGAACTTCAGTGGTCATTCCAGACTCTAGATGTTAGATGGTATGACCAAATCTAATCTAGTCTAGTCAGTCATGGTCTAGATCAGGGGTCATCAACCTTGGCATTGTATTACAATGTATTACCAAAAATATTATTTTTATTTCAAACTATACCAATAAAACTGGAGAAAAAATATTTTGAACAGTTGAAGAAAATAACGTGGAAATATGCGTGGCAAGGAAAGAGAGCAAGGGTTAACATAAAAATGCTACAAGATGCAAGAATTAGAGGTGGGTTTGGCCTTCCAAATTGGGAATTGTATTATCAAGCGGCAGCGTTAACATGCATTAAAGAATGGATTTTATTAAGGAATACAAGACTATTGACATTGGAGGGTCATGATTTACAACTGGGTTGGAATGCCTTTTTATGGTACGGGAAACAAGGATACATGGATATTTCCAAAGACATTATGTAAGAAATGGTTTGTTATCAGCGAGGGAGAGAGTGAAAGAAAAATATTATTTGAATATTCCAATGTGGCTTTCTACAATAGAAGCGGTGACATACCCAAATATTGTGAACATGGGGAAAATTGTTAGATATAAAGAAATTTTGACAGATCGGGGAGAACTGAAACAAAAACAAGAACTAGAGAATCAAGGGATTGAGATAGATTGGTATACAAGACTGCAAATACAATCAAGATATGAAGCAGATCGTAGACAATATGGCTTTAACTTGGGGAAATCAGAACTGGATGAAATATTGACAGGAACAGATGAGAAAATGATTAAGAAATTATATAATTATTTATTGCGTATTAGACTAGAAGATGAAGAAGTAAAAGAAACAATGATAGCATGGGCAAAGAATTTGGATACAGCATAGAATTGGATAAGTGGCAACAACTTTGGGAAAGAAATTATAAATTAACAATGGCAACAGCCTATAAAGAAAATCTGTATAAGATGTTTCATAGATGGCATATGCCACCAGAAAGATTAGCTAAGATGTTTAAAGATAAATCAGCTAAGTGTTGGAAATTTCATCAGTTGCCAGGATCATACTATCATATGTGGTGGTTGTGTAAAGAAGCAAAACAATATCGGGTGAAAATACAAACATGGTTAGAGGGAATGTTGCAGCAACATATAGAATTAAAACCAGAGATATTCTTATTGGGAATTTTACCAGAGAATTATAGCAAAGAAGATACATATTTGATTATTCAAATAATAACAGCAGCTTAGAATTGTATTTGCACAAAACTGGAAAGCAGATAAAATTCCATTGGAAGGAGAAATTATAAAGAAAATTTTGAATTTTCTGAATGTGCAGAAATGGATAGATTAACATTGAGAATAAAAGATAAAGAGGAGTCAATGTATTTCAAGACATGGGATAAATTTTATGATTGGTTAGAAAAGAAACATGAATAAGGACATAGAGATAAAATAAGTAGAGAATAGATGGGAGAAAAGAATTAGAAAAATAGATATCCAGATGATGTCAAGTAAAAGGAGAAAGGGGAGGGGGGTTAAAAGGGAAAAAAGTGAGATATTATAAAAATGTACGCAAATGATGAAATAAAAATAAATAATAATTGAATAAGAAATTGAAATGAGAATAAAGATAATTAGGAAATCGGGGGTGCTCGAATACCACTTTAGATTGAACTGAAAAGGGAAACAACAGGAGAGAGGGGAAGGAGTAGAGCGAGAGGAAAGGAAAAGAGAGGAGAGGAGAGAAGAGGAGAAAGAAGAAAGGGAAAAGGAGAGGAAGAAGAGGGAGGGCAAAGAGGAGTAGAGGAGAAGGTTAGAAGGGGGGAAGAAGAGAGGAGTGGGGGGAAGAGAAGGGGAAGTAGGAAAGAGAAGGAGAGGAAGAACAAAGGAAGTAGGAGGAGAAACTGGAAGGAAGAGAAGGGGAAGAGAAGAAGAAAGGTTGGAGTAAAGATAAAGGGTAAAAGAGCAGCCCCGAAAAAGTAAAAATGAAAAATGAAAGTTAAAAAAAAAGATGAATGAAAAATGATGGAAATGACTGTACGTGTAAATGTGTTTATGAAAAAATAAAAATAAAAACTTTATTAAAAAAAAACCTTGCCAACTTTAAGACTTGTGAATTTCAACTCCCAGAATTCCTCAGCCAGCCATTCTGGCCAGGTAATTCTGAGCATTGAAGTCCACAAGTCTTAAAGTTGCCATGGTGGGAGACCCCTAGTCTAGATGACCAAGCTAGAACCCACAATTGATTGAATTCATACCTATCTCTCTGGTTTGTAGTTTGCAACCCACTTAAGAGCTAACACACAATATTAAGGTGTAGGAGAATCCAGGATTAATGCAGCAGTTAAGCTACTTTACCTAATGCAACATAATGGAGAAACACAGCATCTCACCCCCAAGTCCTCCACCCCAAAAAGGTGAATCACGTGGAAGAAAGATATCTATGGAGATTCCCAGTCATGCAGGTCATGGTTGTCCCAAAGGTGCTTTTTCAATTTTCTTGTTTTTCTTTGAAGACATTTCGCTTCTCATCCAAGAAGCTTCTTCATCTCTGAAAGGACTGAAGAAGCTTCTTGGATGAGAAGCAAAATGTCTTCAAAGAAAAACCAGAAAGTCCAGTTGCCTCTTGAAAAAGCACCTTTGGGATATGTGGGAGAAAAGTCTCCCAATGACATTTCTTCAAAACAGCATTTTTAGCAGGAGTGGATGGTGCTTACAAAGCATTCCTATCCAAGAAGCATCAGAGGCAACCAAAATATCCAAGAAATCAGGAAAGGTCCACTCATCCTGTCCTCTTCTGGGCTATTGGAAGCCCTGAAATGAAATTGAAATAAATCTAGAACCCTCTAAGAAAGGAGGTATGAAGAAGGATGGGTACTAATGCTCCAGCATTACTTTCTTCTTCTCTGACATTACTGTTTTGATGGGGAAGGTGTTCTGATCTAGGCTTCCTGAGACAGTAAAAAGCATACATTAGTCCCCAAACCCCTCTTTTTATTTCAACGGCTGTGAATTATGTTCACTCATTCATGTAATGAGTCACAAATAGTTTGTAAAGAGTCCAACAGAAGTCTGCCACAGTCCTTTGGGATAAGGCTGATAAGCACCCACCTTTATCTTCCTTGACATGCTACCAAAGACCTATTTGGCAATTAGCTTTGCAAGGCCACACGGAGCACAGAGTCAAAACAGAGCTTCAGAGTTTAAACTGACCAGAATGAACCAAGTTGCTTCCTGCAAAGGCTCATGTGCCTTTGCTCTTCCTTTATGTCTTATGGGAGGGGCCAATCATCTCCAAGCCCTACTCCTGAGTCGCTCCTTTTGTCTTAACTGTTCTTGCCTTCTTGGCAGCTCTACGCATGCGTGCACTGGGAACAGGCTCCTCCTGTTCTTCTGCCTTGCTGATGTCCATCTCTGCAGGCTCCGGAGGCAGCACATAACTCCCAGATGGCCCTGGCCCCCTCTCTGTCTCCAATGCAGAGCCCTCGTCCGAGCCTTCACCAGACTCCAGGACTAGCCCATGTTTCTCTCTAACCTCTTCACTGTCCACCTGTGCTGCCAGCTCCGAAGGCCACCAGCGGACCACAACAGAAGGTCTGCAGGAAGGTTGTCGTTGTGTTCATCTGAATTTGACCACAACTTCCCATGAGGGCTGAAACCCTGTGCCCAACAAGCTCAGTTCCAGTTCCATGGAGAATTGCAACATATTCCATTAAAAATGTTTACACACAGTTTCTACAGTTTTTGTCAACACAGGTCAAGCAGGGGAAGGGAGAAGAGTTTACTACAATCTGGCTCCATGAAGCTGTTTGCTGAGAGCCAAAAGAGGTTTGTTCTGAAAGTGTGCAGCCCCAAGTTAGTATCTCGACACAGAAGCTGCATTTAGATTATATTAAAAAATAGACATGACTCATTTCCTGGTTATTCCACCTAAATCCTTGTTATTAGTTGAGCGTGAGGGAATTGAGGCTTCATTTCATAGCCAAAAGTCAGACTGAAAAATAAAGGTGATGACTGCATATGCTGAGGCTGGGACAATTCAGTTTGTCCAATTTTTGGTTTGGGGTTGGAGGATTCAAGAATGGACACCCAGGAAGAAAAATCACTGGAAAGAAAACATTCTCATGTCCTTCTTTAGAAAGAGCCTCCCTCCCTCCAGTCTCCTCCAAACTGCACTGCTGAAGTTTGGGGACAAAATGACTACAAATCAGTGTAATTTGATGGCAATATAATTCTGGCTGTTTTAAAATAGGTAGTGGTAGTCCTTGACTTACAACCAAATTTGAACCAGAACTTTGCTTGCTAAGTGATGCAACCGTTAAGCAATTTATACCCAGCAACCCACAACTTCCTGTATTTGCACTGAAGTTGGGTATTTAAATAATTTAGCAGGACAATCTTAGACCATTTAGGGTTTAGAGTGGGAAAAAGCACTGTTTGGCTTTAGGAGCTCTCCCATTCTTACCTGCCTTCTGCATATCCTTCCAGTAAAAGAGAAAAAAACCAAGATGAACAATTTTATTCCCCTACCCCTTCCAGTGATATCCCTGAAATAAATACAGTGTTATGTGGCTGCTCTTCAGAGGTTTGGGAAGCTAAGTTGCAGTCTTCACCCCTCAGATGTTGCCCACTTGTCAAAAGATGCCTTCAGAATCACTTGAGGAGTTATCTACCTCAAAGAGAGATGACTTTTCATGTTCTGCCTTTTTGCTTTGCCAGACCTGTTTTCATAAAGATACATGTTTCTTGGGTTTTTACATAAGGCAAATAACCATCGTGTTTATGTGTAATAAGTAGTTTGGCTCAACACGACTTTTAATAGGGGAGTGAGATCTCTGGTGATTCTGATCTGATGCTTAGAGAACCTCTGGAGTATAAGAGGTTCAGAAGTCAGAAGTCATTGTTATGCCTCTAAGGAAGACTTGGAATTTTCACTTAGCAATGAGGAATAGCTTTATTCTATATTCCATAACTTTGGGTAAAGAAGAAGTGTCAAAATGCAAGAATAAAATGGGGCTACCTTAAATGCTGGATCTTTGCTTTAATAGGGCTTCCGTCAGTAACACTACTGCAACGTCACTAGCAATCATTAAATGTGCCCCTGACAGTCCCACCTTGTCTTGCCTTTAGGTTTGTGCATGCCAAGTACGTGCTACAGGGAAGATGTACGCTTGCAAAAAGCTGGAGAAGAAGCGCATCAAGAAGCGGAAAGGGGAAGCGATGGCTCTGAACGAGAAACAGATCTTGGAGAAGGTCAATAGCCGATTTGTGGTGAGCAACAGTCCTGACTGTGCTGTTGATGGCTGCATTTGGGATTGGCCTTTAGAAGACTGACATATCCAAAGACTTCCATTTGCTAATGCTATTTGGCTCTGCATTCTGAGGGGAATTTCACAGTATCAGATTCAGCCTGGTTGATTTAGCTGTAGTTACTGCCCTTGATAATTAAATGAAGCTTCTTACATTCAAAAGTGATGGTCAAGTGTCTTTTGGGGGCAGCACAGCCCTGTTTTAACATCTGTCTTCTCCAGATATAACTGGACAAATAATGTTGTACCAAAATACGCTTCCAATTCCCAGAAATTACTTGACCCGTGTGACTTTTAAAGTAGCCCTGTCATTTTTCAGGTTTCACTCATCTGAAAAAAATTGTGGCTGTTTTAATTAATAGCAGAGTAGCTAGACTTGCATTCTGGAAGACTTCCACAGATTCATTTTCAAAGTGTGCACAGCTCTATCAAATAAGAAAATGAGGCAGCTCCCTGTATTCCTGCACTATTGAATGTCACATGTTTGTGAAAGGGGATAAACAGAAGGAAGATGATTGTTATTTACGTGTTTCTGGATACTTGGACACTATAGAAGCAGAATTCTGGAATATACTTGGAGTCAACTCCTCCTTCTTTTCATCTGTGCCAACAGGTCAGTTTGGCTTATGCGTATGAAACCAAGGATGCTCTGTGCCTGGTCCTCACAATCATGAATGGAGGTGACCTGAAGTTTCACATCTACAACATGGGCAACCCGGGTTTTGACAATGAGCGGGTCATCTTCTACGCTGCAGAGATTTGCTGTGGCCTTGAACATTTGCACCGGGAGGGCATTGTTTACAGGTGAGAGGGGATGGAGTTGTTTCCTGGCTCCAAGAAGGTAGAGAAAGGGCTAAGGCAAAGTCTCCCTTGTTACATAGTTGGCACGATGGAGAAGTGATCATCACCCTTCATCTGATTAAGTGTTGAGTTATCTGAATGGCAGAGGGAATCAACTGCTAAGCCAACATCGCTCTACCTGGCACACTTCATGTGGATTCTTTAGGAGTTGTGACCAACAATTTCAGAGGGAGAGATGTACTAAACCACAATGGATTAGACAAAAGGATCCAGTTGTCTGAACAACCCTTTTGAATGCCAAACCCCAGCATGGTCCTTTATCCCTCTGAGATTTAAAGTAGCACTCACTGAATAACAGTCACCCGCCTGTCATTCGATGTCATTGACCAAATGAATCATCATAAACCTAAGCTTGAAATCAACTGTCCATCTGTAGACCTTTGAAAACACCTTTCTAGTGTTGGTCATCTCTCTTTGAGATTCAAAGCTTTTCCAAATCGCTTTGTAGCACTCAGACTTAGTGCTGAATAACATTCATCAATGAAAACTGCAACAGACTGCTATAGAGTGTGGTAGTCCTGATTACCGAGCTTAGTAGAGCGAAATCCTCTTCCCCCAAAATCATTCTATTTCTACTCCCCTTTTCTCTTCTTCATAACCCCCCCCCCTTCGCAAGCAGCCAGCATTCCACACCCATGAGTGTTCTGCATTCTAATTGGTCTGTTTGGGAGAAACACACTCTATTAACCTTTCTCTCTAAGTATATTTTCTATTTCTACATAGATTGGGATTCTCCCAAGTTTACTACTAGCTCCCTCTTGCGTGTCAACGGTGCCAAGTCACAGGAGCCATGCCTGCACAGTTAAAATCTGCACTGGGAGTATTCCCTAGCCTTTATTTTATTTTATTTTATTTTATTATTTTATTTTATTTTATTTTATTTTATTTTATTTTATTTTATTTTATTTTATTTTATTATTTTATTTTATTTTATTTTATTTTATTTTATTTTATTTTATTTTATTTTATTTTATTATTTTATTTATTTTATTTTATTTTATTATTTTATTTTATTTTATTTTATTTTATCAAATTTATATACCGCCCTTCTCCCTGAGGACTCAGGGCGGTGTACAGCCAAAGTAAAAACATAAACTACAAACATTAAAATACAATTAAAAAGATATATGTATATTTGGCCCCATAATTAAAAGCAATGACAAAACAATTAAAAACATTTTTAAAAAGTGTTAGGCCAGCCTGGCTTGCTGAAAAAAGAAAGTTTTAAGGGCACAGTGGAAGGCACCGAGGTCTTGGATTCTCCTTATCTCTGGGGGCAGCTGGTTCCAGAGGGTAGGTGCCCCCACAGAGAAGGCCCTCCCCCCGGGGGTCACCAGCCTACATTGTTTGGCTGATGGCACCCCGAGGAGGCCCTCTCTGTGGGAGCGCACAGGTCGATGGGAGGCCGTCGGTAGCAGCAGGCGGTCTCGAAGATATCTAGGTCCTATGCCATGGAGCGCTTTAAAGGTGGTAACCAACACCTTGAAGCGCACCCGGAAGACCACTTTTCATCTTCCTTGTAAAGTGGAAGTACAAACATACTATCTAGAAATGCTGTATTATTATGTATTGCTCTATATTTGATCTACAGCAAGAGCCTCTCTTGTGAGTCCCTCTAAGGTGGGACTAGAACTCGCAGTCTCCTAGTCAATCAATCAGAATAGAGCTGGAAGGGACCTTGGCGGTCTTCTAGTCCAACCCCCTGCTCAAGCCTGAGACCCTATACCATTTCAGACAGGTGGCTGTCCAGTCTCTTCTTAAAGACCTCCAATCATGAAGCACCCACATAGTGATTGTCATTGGCAACATAATATGTACATTCAATAAAAAACGTAGTGCGTTAGAACACCCTCCCCCATTTTTAACATCATAAATTGCTTTATTTTAGAGAAGGCAAATAGCACTATAATAAAGTAATGCTATTTTTGCCTAAAAATTATCTTCAATAATGTACATAACACAGCTGGTCCCAAGTGGAATGAAAATAACCAAAAAGTATTTAGCAAATGGGAAAAATTGCATAGCATTATTTATATTCCCTTATTAAAACATATTCATTTCCTTAAAAATCCTGCAATAAAACAATAAAATTAGAAAAGTATTACAGTGCAATGCATACAATAATGTATGTTGCATTATAGTACAGATGCAAAACTAAATATAAATTAATGCAAATTGGAAACTAAGGAGCCTCAATTACATGTAATGCCTGGCAAAGAGTTAGGGGAATTCCTGAGTATTATTAGACAAGGTCATTCTAACTTAAAATACATTCTGTCTTGTTAAACAAACCAGCAAAATCAGTCAGTATATGTGATTGACCTATCTAATAATTGACAGGAATCTATTTTAAAGAATTATTTCAGATTTGCACATAGTTGTCAACTAGACAAGTGAAGTTGTAAATTCTGGGTTTTTTCCTACTCATGTAAAAGAGAGAGAAGGGAAAAGGGTGTGTGTGGATGATTCTTCAGCTACTTGTCTGCACATGTGCAAGTATTCCTTCATGGATTTAGCCATTGTATTATGCCATGGTTTCTTAACCATGTTTATTCAACAATACGTCATCAAACTAACCGCGCTGTGGCTTAGGTGAAGTTTGAATCAACATGAACGTGTTTGCAGGAGAGTTGAAGGAGCTGTAATCAAACACCTCTCAAGAACACTAGTCTGGGGAAAGCTCTGTTCAAGATAAGCGTAACAACAAAGTGAGCAAACCACCAGAAAATCTGGCATGGAAGGCTATTAAAACAACTGAAAAAGGAAAAGATGGCCCCAATTAAAAGGTGGTCCTCTGGGTTTAAGATGAGAGAGAGGGATATTCGGAAGTAATTTTACTGTGCCTAGACAAAAATCAAGCCATTTGTTACGTATGTTAAGTTTCAAGGGTTCTGGAAGCTCCCTTGGTTTATCTCTTTATTTTATTTGTATCCCGCCTTTATTATTTTATAAACAGCTCAAGACAGTGAACATATTTACTGCTTCTTCCTCCTATTTTTCCCATAACAACTCTTTGATGTGAGTTGGGCTGAGAGAGGGTGACTGGCCCAAAGTCATCCAGCCGGCTTTCCTGCCTCAGGTGGGACTAAAACTCACAATCTCCTAGTGATTGGCCCAAAGTTACCCAGCTTGTTTTCATGACTAAGGCCGGACTTGAACTGACAGTCTCACCGTTTCTAGCTGGTGCCTTAACCGCTAGACCAAACTGACTCTCATACTGGTTACCTGGTTCTTATTCTGGGTTGTGTCTCTATCTCCCCTGCAGGGACTTAAAGCCAGAGAACATTCTCCTGGATGATGATGGTGAGTGCCACGTGTCATATGCTTGAATTGTTCTTCCTGTTATAGACTTTCAGAATCACTTTTACCTACAAATGTCAGAGATCACAGCCAGCTCTTCCTTCATTCAAATCATCTTCCACCGCTCAACAACACAAGCACATTTTTGTGCAGATTAGAACTTCGGCCACTTCTGTCTTAACTCAAGAGTTATGTTCATCATGAAAGATCACAGGATCCCCATTGTAATTTCATATCCTCTATAATCACCGTCTCCCTTCTTCTGTCTAGGGCATATACGGATCTCAGATCTGGGGCTGGCCATTAAGATCCCCGAAGGTGACACCATCCGTGGCCGTGTAGGAACTGTGGGCTATATGGGTATGTGTTGGAGAACTGCTCTAGGTCTTGTTAGATTGCTGATTCAAGAGAAAGCTGGCTCCATCCATGGACCTTCTTTTTGGATCTATCTGACCACACAGGCTGAGAGGGCATGGTACTTTAAACAGGGCAGAGAAGCTATTTTAGACTGAAAATCAAATTTCTACCATTACAGTTAGTCCTTGACATGCAGCAACAATCAGGACCAGAATGTCTGTTGCTAAATAAGGCAGTTATTAAGCTAGTCATGCCCCATTTTGTAAACTTTTTTGCCATGGTTGTTAAGCGAATCTCTGCAGCTGTTAAGTGAATCTTATGGTTGTTAAGCAAATCCAGCTTCCCTGATTAACTTTGCTTGTTGGAAGCTGGCTGGAAAGGTTACCAAATTTTGATCATGTGACTGTGGGGATGCTACAACAATTATAAATGTGAGGACCAGTTGTTTTTTCAGTGCTGTTCTAACTTTCAGCCGTGATGGTGCAATGGTTAGAATGCAGTATTGCAGGCTAATTCTGCTGACTGCCAGCAGTTCGATTTTCACAGGCTCAACGTTGACTCAGCCTTCCAAGGTCAGTAAAATGAGGACCCAGATTGTTGGAGGCAATATGCTGATTCTGTAAACAGCTCAGAGAGGGGCTGGAAAGCACTGTGAAGCAGTATATAAGTCTAAGTGCTACTGCTATTTGAGTGGTTGCTAAATGAATGATTGTAAGTCAAGGACTGCCTGTATTGTCATTGCTGGTTCTGTTGTTATGTATGTATAGCCCATTTATAAGTAAAATAAGGAGTCCAACAAAAAAATTATCAATCCAGAAATGGTTTGTTACTGCCTTCTTTTTTTTTAGTTTTCCAAAGTAGAATACAAACCTAGACATTCTCTCATCCAGGAACTAATCAGGTCCAACCCTTTATGACTTTTTCAACCAGTCACTCAGTTAAGTGCTGCTACTTGTTAAAAAGCAACACATTTAATTCCTTCCCTTTATAAGGGGGAGAAGTCCTTGCCCATTGGATTTTGCATTATCACCTGTGATGGGTAATGGCTCTCCAGGATGCAAAACAAGAGAAGATTCTTTCTCATAATTTGCCACCCAATCAACTGCTTTACATGAAATTGTTGTCTCTAACTGTGCTTTCTCCACCTTTCTTCTCCTCTTCCCAGCTCCTGAAGTAATTAATAATGAACGCTACTCCTTCAGCCCAGACTGGTGGGGGCTTGGCTGCCTCATCTATGAGATGATCGAGGGCCAATCACCATTCCGGGCCCGCAAGGAACGGGTGAAGAGGGAAGAGGTAGAAAAGCGGGTTCAGGAGGACCATGAACAGTATTCAGACAAGTTCTCTGAAGATGCCCAAGCCATCTGCAAGTTGGTGAGTGATGGGAAAGAGAAGAAAGCCAGAAGATAAGGAGGAATCTTTGCCATAAGTCTGTAGTATCAGATGACAACTCATACATCCCCTGAGTTGAGGTCAACTTGGGGTCGACTACATGAACCTTTTGCCACTATCAAGAAGTAGTTCACCATTGTCTTCTGTTGGGATATTGTTTCAGCTTCTCAACTGAACTTCCCTTTGGTTTGTCAAGTAAGGATCAACTAAGAGTTTTGTGATCAGCCAAGATCAGCCAGGTCAATCTGCTTAGCCGGGCATAGATAAATTGTGCCCATGTGTGTGTATACAAGTTTATATGTGTGGGCTGGTCTGGATAGAGTGTATTTAGTCAAGCAGCCCCACATGATATAAAGCTTACAAGATTTCCACTTTGCAGGAGCTTTCAAAAGCAATAATATAAATATTTCTTTTACATTAAGAGAAGCAGAAAGGCGTGTTTCTGATCATAGCCATGTCATGCTACTGTTGTAATGCATGTTGATCCCTTAATGGACTCCCCATTATTTCATTTCCATTGGTTTAATTTTTAAAATTGGTTGCTATCGATCATATGTTTTTTTAAAAACGCCTCTGATGAGGGGGACGAGTCCTTTCTCTTATGCATGGACACTTTCTTTCCCATTATAAGAAGCTGTATTTACAGGACAAACATTGGTGAACTATTCTGGACTCAGGTGGGTTTGAGAACCAACTTGGTTTAGTTCCATGGTAGAAAAAGCCAACTTGACCTTGGTTTACAAAGTCTACTTTAAAAAAGTTCTGAGTTCAATGTTGTCTTGAAGGCTTTACTTACAAGTTGTTCTCTTTTTCCCCCTCAGCTCCTAACTAAAGACCCTAAGCAGAGGCTCGGAAACAAAAGTGAGGGGGCCGTCCAGGTGAAGCAGCATCCATTCTTCAGGACAATCAATTTCAAGCGACTGGAAGCTGGGATTATGAAGCCCTCATTTGTGCCAGATGTAAGTTCTTACAGAGTGAGGAACTCAAGAACAGCAATAAGAAGACAAATAGATGGGCAAATGTTTTATCTGGAGGGGTGAGCCAGTGTTAAGCCAGTGCCAAACTTCCCCTCTTTCTCCAGTTGTTGTTGGCTTCATCATCATCATCATTTTGTATTGGGATATTCTTTGTCACCACACTATAAAAAACATGTTGAGATTAGAAAAACTGCAGAGAAGAGCAAACAGGATGATTAGGGGACTGGAGGCTAAAACATATGAAGAATGGTTACAGGAACTGGGCATGGCTAGTCTAGTGAAGAGAAGGACCAGGGGAGACATGATAGCAGTCTTCCAATATTTGAGGGGCTGCCACAGAGAGGAGGGGGTTAAGCTGTTTTCCAAGGCACCTGAAGGCCAGACAAGGAATAATGGATGGAAATTGAACAAGGAAAGATTCAACCTGGAAATGAGGAGGAACTTTCTGACAGTGAGAACAATCAACCAGTGGAACAGAAGTTGCCTTCAGAAGTTGTGGGAGCTTCATCACTTGAGACTTTCAAGAAAGGATTGGACTGCCATTTATCAGAAATGGTGTAGGCACATATTCTATCCATCATCCTCACATTCTATCCATCATCCTCACCAGTTTTTTTCCCTCCCTCCAATTCCAAATCTGTCCCAAAGAAGCTAAATAAAAGAACTAGAAATTATTTTATGGGGTTCCTCAGTATCCATTTTTTGCCTTTTTAGTTGGATTTATTATCATAAACTGAGCTAGAAAGGACCATGCAGATCTTCCTAGTTCAACTCATGGTTGAACTAGGAAGTTCAACCGTGAAGTTGAACTGTGAAGTTCAACTGTGAGTTGAACTTCAACCTAGTTCAACTCACATGAATTTACAAAACCATCCCCAACCATCCAGCCTCCCTCTCTCCCTTCAAAGGAGGAGTCCTCCTCCACTATTCTGGCTAGATGGTGGCACTGCTTAATTATTGTTATCTTCAGGAAACTCTCCCTGATGTTCATTCTGAAAATTCTGTCTTTTAATTTCAACTTCTTAGTCCCAGTCCTTCCTTTGGCTTTCAAAGGGAACAAATCCATCTCTTCTTGCACATGACTTGCACATCTGGATATGTAAGTCCTGGAGATGACAAACTTACTGGAATCCTTCTCTTTCCCTTAGCCTCGGGCTGTGTACTGTAAGGACGTACTGGACATTGAACAATTCTCCACTGTGAAGGGTGTCAACTTAGACCAAACCGACAATGACTTCTATGCCAAATTTGCCACAGGCTGTGTCTCAATCCCCTGGCAGAACGAGGTAAGGAAGGGACATTTACCAATATTTATTTATCAAATTTAGAAACTGCCCATCTCCCTCACAGAGCGACTCTCTGCAAATCAGGAAAGAGACTGGTGTATTGTAGTTGTACGCTACCTCTAAGCTAAGAGAAGATCATTGGCAAAGCCTCTTGATCTAAGGAGGCCCATAGAGAAGGTTCTCCCAAATGTCTATTCTGTCCAGCTGTTTTAAGGATTTTATTAATAGCACCCTGTTTACCCACCATTCTTACCAATTGCATCTTCTTCTTCCTTCTGTCTAGATGATCGAGACAGAATGCTTTAAGGATCTCAACATCTTTGGACCAAATGGCACCCGATCCCCGGATCTGGACTGGAAGCAGCTCCCTGACCCACCCAAGCGTAGCCTCTTGCAGAGGCTCTTCCGGCGTAACGTAAGATCCAATCTTGTTCCTTTCATGCTATGTATCTTTACAGCTGCCAATCCCACACTTACAATCTTCAATACTACTTAGCCTGATTAAGCAATTAGCAGTAATTGTGCCTTCAGCTTCAAGGTATACTTTAGGTACTTTGTATACAAGAAGTATATTTTTGAACATACTTCCAGGTAAACATGCATATGGGTCTTCTCCAAACTGCCTAAACAGCACATGTGGGGATCTCAGTTCCTAGAACTTTCAGCAATGGCTATGCTGGCTGAAGAATTCTGGGAAATGAAGTCCCACATCTGGAAGTCACCCAGGTTGGAGAAGCCTGGTTTATAGGATCTCTGCCAGAGATTGCAAATTGGAGGAATGTTATGTGGCCCAATGATAAAGCACTGCAGGAGTTCCCAAGATAAACCTGTGGGCACCTGTTACATCCTTCCTGAAACTTTGGAAGGCTTCCGCTAGTCAGAATGGGCAATATTAGTCTAGATCACTTCCAGATGTATGCAGTAACTCCATCAGTCTTCAGCAAGTGCATGCCGAACGGGGAATTCCTGGAGTTGAAGTCCATACATTCCAGAAGTTGCTATGGTGGGGGAATTCTGGTCCAAATCTGAATAAGGCAGTTTCATAGGTTCCTAAGTCTTTGGATTCTTCTGTTTGAAGAACAGCAGTTCAGTGGTTGAGCAACTGCATGACCCAAATAAGTTCTTGGGTTTATTGCTGGCATCTCCAAGAACAGAACAATGACAGATCTTGCCTGTTAGTCATGCTAGAGCAGATTTTTTTTCCCCTTCTGCACTCACCTTTTTCCCTCTCTTCATTTTTCCCTATAGCCAAGTGACTTCACCATCAGCACCAACGTACATTCCAACCTGTCAGCAGCCCCTTCACCAGCTTGGCCCATGGCACAGGCTCCCTCCTGACCTCTGGAACTAGCACTCATCCTTTGCCTTCTCAGGGTTGCCTTAGGCTGATATATGGAAGTCCCTGTCTTGGGCCAGGCTCTGTTACTGCTGGGAGCTGAAGGAACACAGCCTTCCAATCGGCAGGGCAGCAATGGTCCAGAAGACCTTTGCCACCTCCTGGTGCTGATGTGGATTGGGGGCATGGAGACTCTTCTTGTCCAGAACCTTGGCTGCTGCTTATTGACAGGGTCTTCCTTCAACTTTCTGTACTTTGACTGCATAGGGAGCATCCATGGCTCTCCCCCATTTCCTTTATCTCATCACCTCCTGACCCAACTTTCATGGGAGATCAAGTGGGGAGATGTACCTGAGAAGGAAGAATTTAAAAACAGAAAGAACTACCAATGACACCTGGAGATGGCAGAGATGAAGGCTGGAGTCTTAAACTGGAGAGAAAAAGCTTGGACAAAATTGCAATGGGGATGAGAAAGACTCCCCACTCTTGCACTGGCATTTCCAGAGACTGGTGGATAAGTGTGTGTTGGTTTGTGCGTGGATGTATATTGAACGGTTAGCTCCTTGGAGTTCATTCAGGGTTTTTCCAGGGATCTCTCCCACCCACACTATCAATTCTACAGCCTGGGGCAAAGCCAGAATGTGGAAGACAAAGAAAGTTGAAGAGCAATTGGTTGTCTTTCTTTTAGGACATCATTTCTTGGCTGGTCATCCTCTAGCTGTGCTGGACTGTCCAGCACCTCTCATCCCTTAGCAATACAGCCTTTAGACCAGATTGTTGGGCGGGGTCAACTGGAATCCAGGACATGTGGAAATCCCCAGATGCAGAATGCTGCTTTAGAGGCTCTCAACAGGAAAAGACAGAGAGGTGAGATGGATGACATCTCAGCCTGCATAAAGGCTTCAGTGTTCCCAAACCCTGACTTTAACCTCAACCTGCAGTGTTGAAGATATATTTTTTAAATCCTACATATTTTAATTTTTATTACAATTGTTTCCATAGGCCTGCTATTCATTTATTTTATTTCCTTTCCTTTCTGTCTCTGTATTTCCCCCATTCTCACTTGACCTTTCCTTTTTCTCTTTATGCCACCCAGCCTAGTTGGTTCCTGTTGTGTTAAAGCAGATGCAGGGTCTACCCTGATTGTTATCATATGCTCAAGTACGATGGAACCAGGCAATTTCATCCCATTGGTTCCAAAAACTCCAACATCCAAATGGGATGATAGTGAAAAGACCGACTGCAGGTGGACAATTGTCTTCTAAAACCCTCCTCTACATTGGAAAATAAAAACCTCTCTGTAAGTAGAAAAGCAGAATAAGACTGGGTTAAAGTTTTAACCCATAATATTCTGGATTTCTACTTTCAAAGAGAGTCTTCTCACCCACCCTGCCCCAAGCACAAGGCTCAAGTGCATTGGGTCTATTTTAATTTTTGCCCTAGGCTTGGGCAGGACTAATACAAAAGTAAATGAAGCCAACCAATTGGAGCCAAAGGCTTAGCAAAATAAAGAACAGGGTGATTTTAGAAAAAGAATGGAATTTGAGGTCACAGTATTGTCTTGACTTTTGATTACCCTAATGCAGTGGCCCTCAACCTTTTGGGCACCAGGAACTGGTTCCGTGGAGAGAGGTTTTTCTGTGGACCAGAGGGAGTGTGGTTTCGTGTGCTGCCTGCATCCTGTGGATGGGGCTTCGCTTGTTTGCATGGCCTGGTTTCTGGCATACCACGGCCCAGTGTTGGTCCATGGACCGGGGGTTGAGGGACCCCTGCCCTAATGTGCTTCATTTCAGGAAAAAAGGATCATTTTGTTGCTGCTATTGCTAAATAAGTGGAAATCCCTGTTGCTTCTTTTCTTTGAAAATGATAGCAATGATGATGCAGAGAGAAATGCACAGGGAGAGCATTTCTCCCTAGGCTTAGAGAAGAAGTAAGAGAAGGGGGAAAGGACAAGTGTGGAGAGGGCAGGGAAGACTCACCCTAGGAAACTTTGTTCCCAAATTTCTCCAAACCCAAACAGGAAACAGGGCTCTGGAGTTGTGTTGAGGAACAGTGTGGAAGTTATGATGCTTATAGCTCTCAGAGGCTGGTGGAGCACAACTCTCAGCATCTCTTACCTTAGCCCTTCCTAGGTGGCCCTGGTGGAAATGGTCATTTAACAACTTCTGGACGGCTATAGATTTTCTACTTCTAAACAGGGCTAGGTTTTCTTTAGCTTCTAATATACCTACTTTAGTGCTCCAGTTTGACTCTGTTTCCCACCTTCACTTCTCTTCCATTTGTTTTTATGATCATAGGAAGCTCTAAAGCAGGGGTCTCCAACCTTGGCAACTTTAAGACTTGTGGACTTCAACTCCCAGGATTCCTCAGCCAGTTTAAGTTGCCAAGGCTGGAGATCCCTGCTCTAAAGGATAGGATAATAGATCTACGGACAAAGCTGCTGCTTTCCCTTCAGGCTGCCAGTGTGTGATGCTCTTCCACTGATTTCTGTGGCTCAGGCTGAGACTGGAACAATGCATCCGTTCTAAGATAACTATAAGGAGCTTCCCAAATTCTGAGGTTTCCCCTCCAATGCCATCACACGTTGCAAAGGTCAGGGGAAGATAGATCTATTTTTACTCAGAATTCCTTCTCTATCTTATCGCTTGGCTGTTGCGTGACCTGCTGAGGGAAAGGCTTGCTCTCAGCCTGGTGCTTTATTTTTTAAATAGGCAGAGACATCCTTGGTATAGGAAGGACTTTCTGGGTGAAATATCAGAGAAATGCGGTAAGCTGGTTTCTCAGCAGTCAGACTTCAATATGGGAAATGCCCTCTGATCCTCCAGCGGCAGGTGTGAAAATTTGGGCTTACCCTTGACTAGCTGAACCCCAATGAACAGCCTGACCCAAGCAGTGAAGCTCGTCTGTTCATTAAATCCCAAGTTTTAGCAAGCCCCATCTAGAGAATTTGATTTCCTTAAGGCTCAACTCCTTAAGGATGACTAAAGACCAGAGGCTGTCTTTGAGGCCAGAGAGAGAGGGGAGAAGTTGGGGCCTTCCTCTTGTGCAAATGACACCATGCTGATATTTTGGATGGATGCCTGACTTTTAATAACTGTATGGTAGGCAAAGGGTCCACTGGTAGAACCAGAAAGAAATTGCAGTCTTTCTCTGTGGGTGTGATTGTTTAAAAACTGGATCATGGTCAAGGAAATGGAGACTTCTCTTAATGCCCAAGGTAAACAACTGAACTTCCTGAGCTGTTGGCATTTTTCCACTCCGTTACTTTTGCTTTTTTGGAATCTCAGTTCCTTCTCTAACTTCAGTTGCCCCTCCCTAAATTTGTAGCATGGAGATTTGTTTTAAAACAAAAACAATCCAAGTTAGTGGGAAAAGTAAATAGGCATGAAATCCTGGTACAGGGTCCACATACCCGCTTTGCATCTTTGCTCTGCCCACTAGGACCCTTCCAAAAACATAAGTGTCCCCTGAAAGTTGCCTGTTTTTTTTCCAGGAGCCTGTCTAATGCCACTTCACTATAAGTTCAAACAAGAGATGTTTGCAAAGAGAAGAAACCACACAGGTGGCTGTGTGGCTTTGCATAGGGAAAACACATGGCAGCAAACAGGCAGCCAAGCTTCCTTCCCACCTTCCATTTCTGTGCGAAAACTGACTCTCCATCTGTGGATTATTCCACAAAGCTGCCTGCATTAGCATTAGAACACAAATGTAGAGTGGGGATCCCAGGGTTTCTTTTTCTTAATATATAATTCAACTCCAGAAATTAAGTGATTCCTTCCTCCCCTGACCAATTTTCCATGTGGGCTGATGGATCCTTAGTTGCCTCCTGAAAGAGATTGGATTGGCTTCTTAGGAGGATTGTGTGAACCAATCCAAAGAAGGTCCAAGCTGAAGAGGTTGACCCTACTTTTCTAAGAATAAATGGATTTGGATTGCTTTGACTTTCAAGAACAGAGGTTCTAGAAAGGACCTCCTGCTCTAATATTAACAGATCAGGCAGAAAATGATTCATGTTGCTATAAAGAGCTATGGGCAGATTTCATGCCAGATTGGGTATGAATTGATACTAGAAGATATGCATATTTCCACATGAACGAAGACCAGTCCAAATCCAGCATCTTTGAGCAGACGTGATGACCTAGCCATGCCTGCTCCCCTTCTTAAAGACGCAAAAGATTCCATTGCACAAATGGTTTTGTACAAGCAGTCCTCAACTTATAACCACAACTTGCTAAGCAAGGTGGTTGTTGAATGAGTCATTGCCCAATTGTATAGCCTTCTGTGCCCCAGTTCTTAAGCAAACCTGGCTTCCCTTATTGAATTTAGTCATTCGAAGCTGGCTGGGAAGGTCCCAAGTAGCGATCATGTGACCCGAAGATGCTACAACTGTCATAAATATAGGCTGGTTGCCGAGCGCCTGAATTTTGATCAGGTGACCATGGGATGTTGCCACTATTCTAAGTATGAGAACCAGTTGTAAGTTACTTTTTTCAGCGCTGTTGTAACTTTGAACAGTTGCTAAACGGATATAAGTAGAGGACTACCTATAGGATTTCCATTGCCGTCTAATAGAAGGAAAGGCTATCTCAGGAGTAACAGAATTGGAAAGGACCTTGGAGGTCTTCTAGTCCAACCCCCTGCTCAGGTAGGAAACTCTATACTATTTCAGACAAATGGTTGTCCAATTTCTTCTTAAAATCTCCAGTGTTGGATCATCCACAACTTCTGGAGGCAAGTTGTTCCACTGATTCATCATTCTCACTGCCAGGAAATTTTTCCTTAGTTCTAGGTTGCTTCTCTCCTTGATTAGTTTCCATTCATTGCTTCTTGTCCTGCCTTCAGGTGCTTTGGAGAACAGCTTGATCCCCTCTTTTTTTGTGGCAACTTCATTAATGCCAACCTGACCCATTGTGCAAGATTTTGGAGATCCTGTTAATTGAAATAGTAGCCTCTCTTGACATATTGATTCCTAGTAGTCGTCCAAAAATTTAACTGATAGAAAGGGAATTGATTCTATAGATGGGTCATCCAATGAACAGTGTTTATATCATTTCATGTTAATTCAGTCTATAAAATCAATTACAGGTTGAGTGGGGCTTGGTCCAAAATAGGTGAGCTGTTGTTGGGCTGTAATTGGCCAATGGTCACATATTGTGAGCCCTCTGCTAAACCTCTCTTGGCTCAATCCCCATCACATACTTTATTGCAGACCTCTTTCTCATGTACACATACCTACAGAGCTATGGGTGGGAAAAAAATACAACTTTCAGCCAAAATCAGGAGGAGAGGGAGAGAGGAAAATTGTGAAATTGTGATTGCACCTCACGCTAAGCCATAACATGGCTTGCTGGCTTAGAGTTTAGTGTAATGTGTGTTTACAGGCGGGTGTAGCTTATTGGAAAAGTTGTGGTTGTACAATGGTCTGGTGTGATGGGTGAACCTCATCTAGGTGAGAACCTCCAAATGAACCAAATAGGAAGAAACGTGAACAGACTATGAGCAGAATATGAAGGAATCGTTGCCTTCTCAGTCTGAGAAGAACAAAAGGAGGAAGTATTCTGTGGCTCTAGTGATCCCCTTGACCTCAGACCCTTACACTTTTTTTGTATTTCCCTTTTCTTTGTACATCCGTGTTGTTGGGGCTGGTCTATTGTTGGCTTTTTATTTCTTTCTCTTTTTTTACACCGCTCGTTTCTGATTCTGGAGCATTTGGGCTGACTTCTCGGGTTTTTATTTTGTACATTTGTAAATATTTGTATGTTGAATGTTTGGATGTACATTTTTAAACTTGAAAAAGCTGCAAGCCAAGCCATGTTTGGAAAGGTGCCCCTAATGCATCGGGTTTTTTTTTTTTTTAAATTGGGAATATGGAGGGAGGTGGGAGGAGAGAAATGAATCTAAACTTCTTATATTATAAAGTCCCTGTTCCAGTCAAATGAAGCCAGAGCGGAGAGGGGGAAAATTATCTCAGTGAGTCAACTGGGATTTCCGTTCCTCCCGATTTTAAAATTTCATATGGTATATATGTACTACGGTTGCTGTTTTTTCTTGTTACTTATTCCCAGGGCTGTGTGTAATCTGCACTGAATAAACATATACACCAAATCTCCACCAAAAAGAGCTGCGTTCTCTGAATTACCTGAGAAAGCCAGTTTGATCTACTCGTTAAGGCACTAGGCTATAAACTAGGAGACTGTGAGTTCTAGTCCTGCTTTAGACCTGAAAACCAGCTAGGTAACTTTGGGTCAGGAAGGTAATGGCAAATCTTGCCAAGAAAACTGAATTGTCCAGGCAGTTACCAGGAATCAAAAAAGACTTACACACATACAAAGGGGATGGTAATGGAGTGATATCCATATTCATTACTTAGGATATTTAAACTAATGTTTTAAGGGTTAAACATTGTTTTGTTTTTTTAAAACATTGATATATGCAGCAGCCAGTGAAAGGTCTGTATCTGGTTACGGAGAAGCATCACGTTTTTACCTATATGGAACACTAGGAGGCAGTACATCATTAGTTTCAACCTACTTAAAACTTATTAAATGTACATAGTCTCAGATCTTTTAATGAACTTGAATTCTTCTAGTAGGGATTGAATTCATAGGCTACTGAACCTGAGAGGATGATATAGTATTATCCCCAGCAATGTTTCAGGAAAGGATATACATAATCTGTCTTTAGAATGGTGTATAAGACCATCTTCCTCTCCTAAGCTTTCAAACCATAGAGATGTATAGTTGCTAAATTATGTCCTTATGTATGAAGTTATATGTTTGATGAGACTCAAACAGGAGAAAAACATCCCTATATGGCTCCTGAAAGTCCATATGAGTAAAAGCACTACACGGGATATACATTGTGCAAAAAAATGTACATAAGGACATGAACCACACTAGCATCTGAATATCCCTCTGGTCTGGGAGCTTAAGCAACGGAAGGTGGATTGAATGTACCATTCTAAAAATACTGTACATTCAGAATTATGGTAGACTCTACACCAAACAGAAGGATCCTCCGTGCTCCCCAATTCTATTAGTTCAAGTAGTGACTTCTCCTTTGTGACCTGATTCAAGATCTCAAGAGACAATCAACATGCATGGTATCTCCTTGCCCTGTAAAACAATATTTGGGCATCCAAGGATCTGCAGGCCTTGATAACACAATGTGGTTGACCAGACCAGAGTCCTGTTTGTAGCAGTAAACATTAACTGCTTGTGCTCTTCAGTTTAGCTGCAGAAGGGAAGGGTGAGGAAATAGCTTGAGATAGTGATGCCATCAGTGAAGGGCTTTCAGGCAGGAACCCAGTGGTCAAATCAAGAAGGAGAAACTCCAAACCCAGCATGATGGATCTACTACATTTTAAAATAGGGAAACAAGTAAAGGGGGGTATCTGTGCAAGACCATTAAGCCGCAAGGAGTTTGCCATAGAACATTTAAGACTACAGCCTAAAATTACCATTGCCACTGTGATTTAAGGACAAGCTCAGCCTGATAGTGAAAATGATAAATAATAAATCTTAGCTAATTATCTGCAATTTAGAGCATTCCTAAACAACCTCAAGAATTTATTATTTACTTTAAGGCTAGGAGCAGAGTCAAGATAGATGAATGAACTTATCCTTGATAAAGTTTCTAAAATGTGCAACATGAAGTATGAAAAAGGTTTTGGTGTTTTTTTGTTTTGTTTTGTTTTGTTTTGTTTTTGGCCTCATGTTACTTACAATTTAGAAAGTAAGGTCAGGAAATTAGAATAAAGGATCAGAAAAAATGAAGGTTCTTTTTCAGAAACTATGGCAAAGTTGCTACAGTTACCTTCCCAGTCTTCTTCTGCCTGTGTTCAATTCTGTTTAAGATACTTGGGGTTAATAAGCTAAGGAATAGGTTTACTGAAGTTAGTTGGACATTTGAATGAGTACCCATAAGTGCATTTATGTAAAAATTCTATGGGAACAAATGTTTCCAGAGATTGACTGATCAGAAGAAAAGAAAGGAGGCATAAAACATGTGTGACTAGTTTATTATTCTATGTATGGGATGAATGGCATTGAATTTAATAAGATTCAGTTCAAGCAGAGATGTCATGGAGCAGCCTTTTAAGATGATGTGTAGATACACATGGGAAAGCTATTATGTCTTAATATGGAAATGCCTTTTGAAGGAACTCATTCTCTTTATTTTGATCCCATTGGACAGGGATCAAAGATGTTCTAGCCCAAGATTAATACACTGAAGAAAACATTATTTTTTAGATAAAAGGAAACTTTATAGTCATTGACCAATATTAGTACACTCAACAGAATAGAGAAAGCAAAATTAACTCCTAATAACAATAACTATTGGCAACCATTGGTGGGCCAAGCTTTTGCATAACATAGCAAAATTTTGCTACTTTAGAAAAATAAATTTATCTTTTTTATCTGGTTGTTGAACAGATAATGAAAATAAAAATTATCATACAGTTAATTATTTCAATGCCTTCTTTGACTGGACTTGTATGAAGGCTGGAACAGCAGATGGCAGCATTTGGCTGAGTTTATCTGAGCTTGGAGTCAAACAGGGTCAGGAATAATGAATAATGGGATGAGACACCTCCAAGGAATATCAGTAGTGTAGACTGTACTGGGAACAACAGCAGCAAGAAGAAGGCCATGGCAAACCACATTAAGAATTTGTTGATTTGTCTATGTGAAGTCATTGACAGTCAAACTCGTCTAAAGGTGATGGTCTCTTTTAATGAAGTTGATTTCTTTAGAGTTTCAGAGACTCAAGAGTGAAAGATAATACACAATGAGACACAAATAGATATGTGTAGATTCACTACAGTCATAGACCTGCGCAGTATAATGAGCTAGGTAAAGACAGACTGAAATAACCATGAAATGTTTAAAGGAAGTCTGGAAATACCAACTTTAAGACCGTGGCTGATGCAACGGGACCGCCTTCTGCCACCAATAGCCTCCCACCGGCCAGTTCGCTCCCACAGAGAGGGCCTCCTCAGGGTGCCATCGGCTAGACAATGCCGGCTGGCGACCTCCAGGAGGAGAGCCTTCTCTGTGGTGGCACCTACCCTTTGGAACAATCTACCCCCAGATACGAGTGATCTCCGACCTCCGGACTTTTCGTCGGGCCCTAAAAACTCATCTCTTTCAGTTAGCCGGTCTCTCTTGATTTTATGATTTTATGGTTGGTTTTAAATTTTGATATGGATTTTAAATTGATAAATTTTAAACTATGGGCCAAATTTAATTATTTTAAATCTATTTTTAATCGTACTTTATGTATAAATGCTTTTATTTTGGCTGTTCACCGCCCTGAGTCCGAAAGGAGAAGGGCGGTATAGAAATTTGAATAATAAATAAATAATAAATAAATAAATAAACCTACATTTCTGCAGTCTTGAAAGCAATGTGTCTTTTCATTCTTCAGGACATTTTATCTGCAGCAGCAATCCCAAGGTTTGCAGCAGGGATTCCTGTGTGCCACAGTGTCTTCTCCTGGATTTATTTATTTATTTATTTATTTATTAGATTTTTATACCGCCCCCTCTCCCGAAGGACTCGGGGCGGTGCACAGCCAAAGTTAAAAACATACAATATAAACAATTAAAATACGTTTAAAACAGAATTAAATCTAAAATGGCTCCCCAATTTAAAATGCCTTACCCATACCCCTATAAAAAGACGAATTTAAAATTTAAAAATTTAAAATTTCCACATTTAAAAAGGGGGAAGATTTAGGCCAGGCCAGCTTGATAAAATAGAAAAGTCTTAAGTGCGCGGCGGAAGGTGCGCAGATCCGGGATCCTACGTATCTCCGGGGGGAGCTCGTTCCAAATCGTAGGTGCCCCCACAGAGAAGGCTCTCCCCCTAGGGGCCGACAGCCGACATTGTTTGGCCGACGGCACCCAGAGGAGCCCCTCTCTATGGGAGCGTACTGGCCGGTGGGAGGCTATTGGTGGTAGCAGGCGGTCCCGTAAATAACCAGGTCCTGAGCCATGGAGCGCTTTAAAGGTGATAACCAGAACCTTGAAGCGCACTCGGAAGACCACCGGGAGCCAGTGCAGCTCGCGCAGGAGAGGTGTCACATGGGAACTCCATGTCGCTCCCATCACCACCCGCGCGGCCGCACTCTGCGCCAGTTGGAGCCTCCGAGTGCACCTCAAGGGGAGCCCCATGTAGAGAGCATTGCAGTAATCCAGACGAGAAGTAACGAGGGCATGAGTGACTGTGTGTAGGGAGTCCCGATCTAGATAGGGACGCAACTGGCGGATCAGGCGAACCTGATGAAAAATCCTCCCGGACACGGCTGTCACATGCTCTTCTAACGACAGCCGTGAATCCAGGAGGACGCCCAAGTTGCGAGCCCTATCCGTGGGGGCCAATGATTCGCCCCCAATAGTCAGCAATGGCATTAGCTGACTATATCGGGACGTCGGAAACCATAGCCACTCGGTCTTGGATGGGTTGAGCCTGAGCCTGTTCCTCCCCATCCAGATCCGTACGGCCTCCAGGCACTGGGACATCACTTCAAGGGCATCGTTGGGGTGATCCGGGGTGGAGATGTACAGCTGGGTGTCGTCAGCGTACTGATGGTACTCCACCCCAAAACCACGGATGATCTCGCCCAGCGGCTTTACATAAATGTTGAACAAAAGGGGCGAGAGGACCGATCCCTGCGGCACCCCACATATGAGGGGCCTCGGGGTCGACCTCTGCCCCCCTGTCAACACAGACTGCGACCGGTCGGAGAGAAAGGAGGAGAACCACCTTAGTACGGTGCCTCCCACCCCCAACTCTTCCAACCGGTGCAGCATGATACCATGGTCGATGGTATCAAAAGCCGCTGAGAGATCTAACAGGACCAGGACAGAGGAACAACCCCTGTCCCGAGCCCTCCAGAGATCATCAACCAACGCGACCAATGCCGTTTCCGTGCTGTATCCAGGCCTGAAACCCGACTGGAACGGATCCAGATACGACGCTTCATCCAGGTACTGGGGAAGCTGTCCCGCAACCACACTCTCAACAACCTTCGCCACAAAACGAAGGTTGGAGACTGGACGATAATTAGCCAATATTGCCGGGTCCAGGGAAGGCTTCTTGAGGAGGGGCCTCA